TCTTTTAAATGATCTCTTCATCTGGAAAGCATCTGCTGTGTACAAACATCTGATAGACATCTCTAAGATGCATACATTCTATACATTCTAAATCATAAACATCTAAAAGACATCTTCTAAATATCTATTTCACATTTGATACTATAGACGTTATAGACGTATTACAAATGAGCAAACACTTAAAAAAATACATCATTGCAGATATAAATGCAGACGTCAAATAGACGTCTCCAAGATGTACGTGCTATCAGGGTCATAATTCATCAGCTATCAATCACAAGCAATCATCTCACATAAATATGCTCTAGTCACTGATTGTGAACTGCTGTGAAACACAAGCCTGTAGAACTAGCAACAGTGCCACCTTTGTACTCTGGATGTGCAGCGCTCAGATTTATTTCATCAACAGAGCCTTTTGAATTTTAATGATCACTTTAGACTGTATCGCGATTCTACACATTTAAGATAATAAAGAATAATAATGATGATGTATGTTCTGCAGTGTAAGATGTTAAAGACTCTGTAAGAAGCTGCAGGGACTTGGCACTTGTGCTCCTGAACACAGTTCACTGTTCACACACATCTATTGTTTGCTGCAGATGTCAGTAAAATGCTCGCATTGTCGAGTCCTGACAGAAAGATGAGTTATGATTTTATTCCTGATTTCACCTCAAATCTGTGGACAAAAGTTCAGTGATGGAAAATGAATTGTAACATGACAGTGATCAGAGGAATAATCACAATCAGCAGTGACTCATTAGTTACACATTAGAAACACTGACAGTGTGAAACAGCCGTTAGAGACAGACTTATAATAAATGAAACAGCAGACACAACTAAAGGAAGAATGATTTCTGTGTTTTCTCATGATCTTCAGGAGGAGGAAGAGGAAGATATCTTCATCTCCTGATCCCAGCTGTGTGTCTCTGAATAAAGGAGGAGGATTGATGGATCTGTCACTCTTCAGTGATGAAGCAGTGACCTCTGACCCCAGGTGAGGATAAACGTGTGGTGATGATTGAACTGCTTTATGGGAGTCAAAAACACACTCAGTGCACACAGACAGGGCTCGACACAATGAACACATGAGCTCCTACATTAAAAAACTCCAGGAGCGCAATGAAAATGTAATAAATATCTATGAAATGTCATGAAAATATATAATAATCTGTTTTTCTTTAATTACTGGATACAGCAAGACATTTACAAGCAAAATTATTTAATTTATTAGAATACAAAAAGCACACAAAGTTTAAAAAAATTCTGCATTAAACTGTATTTAATAATTATGTAATTATTTAAAGGACTACTTTAAACAGTGTGCAACCAAAAATACCAATATTAACCAGGAAAAAAACAAAGCAAAAAACTATCCATAATGTGGGGCTTTTAATTATGAACAAACAGTAATACAGCAGACTCGTATTTTAAATGCCTGCTTTTCTATTGCTGGCTGCTCATTCAGAAAGATGAGGGAGATAAAATATGTATCTTACAACCATCTAACATGTTACAATATCCACAGCATAAAGTACAGACTGTCCCCAGATAGCACACATATGTCTGCAAGATGTCTTTTAAATGATCGCTTCATCTGGAAAGTATCTGCTGTGTACAAACATCTGATAGACATCTCTAAGATGTCAGTTTTACATACATTCTAAATCATAAACATCTAAAAGACATCTTCTAAATATCTATTTCACATTTGATAGGAAGAGTCCTATAGACGTATTGCAAATGAGCAAATACTCAAAAAAATACATCATTGCAGATATAAATGCAGACGTCAAATAGACGTCTCCAAGATGTACGTGCTATCAGGGTCATAATTCATCAGCTATCAATCACAAGCAATCATCTCACATAAATATGCTCTAGTCACTGATTGTGAACTGCTGTGAAACACAAGCCTGTAGAACTAGCAACAGTGCCACCTTTGTACTCTGGATGTGCAGCGCTCAGATTTATTTCATCAACAGAGCCTTTTGAATTTTAATGATCACTTTAGACTGTATCGCGATTCTACACATTTAAGATAATAAAGAATAATAATGATGATGTATGTTCTGCAGTGTAAGATGTTAAAGACTCTGTAAGAAGCTGCAGGGACTTGGCACTTGTGCTCCTGAACACAGTTCACTGTTCACACACATCTATTGTTTGCTGCAGATGTCAGTAAAATGCTCGCATTGTCGAGTCCTGACAGAAAGATGAGTTATGATTTTATTCCTGATTTCACCTCAAATCTGTGGACAAAAGTTCAGTGATGGAAAATGAATTTGATCTCAATGTCCAGATATAAGAAACTTACTGGCTAACAGAGTCTCTGCTGTCAGCTTGAGGAGGAGCTTTTGGTTTCTTCCTCATTTCTTAAAGCTCTCAGTAAGTTTGTTCCTTTCCTCCGTCACCTGTAGCTGTTCGCTGGAGGATTGTAAGACTCTCTTTTCCTTTTCTTTCCATTTTCCTGCTGTTCTGCTTTGGAACAATGTGCATTACAAAAAGTGTTAAACAGATCAACTGAAACTGAAATTATACTGAAAATACAAGACTGACATCTCTATCGATTTAGATGTTCATTTACACATCCTTTATTTATAGATATTTTTAATCTGTTCTTCTTGTGATATTTCAGCAGAGCAGATCGAGAACGAAGCATCTCTCGAGGAGCCGCCTCTGTCTTCTGTCTGAACAACACGAGCGTTACAGCGTCTCTGAATAAACATGATCAACCAGTGAATGATGAACTACAGAGAGTCAAAGACCAGCTCAAAACCAGCATGAGGAATAAGTATGAGAGATTATTTGAGGGAATCAAACTCCAGGAGAATGAAAGCCTCCTGAACAGGATCTACACACAGCTCTACATCATAGAGGGAGAGAGAGAAGGAGTGAATGAAGAACATGAGGTTTTACAGATGGAGAAAACAGCCAGAACACAACACTCACAAGACACTCCAATCTACTGCAATGACATCTTTAAAGCCTCAGCTGAAGCAGGATCTGAGGAGAAAGAGCAGATCAAGACTGTTCTTACTAAAGGCATCGCTGGAATCGGAAAAACCGTCTCTGTGCAGAAGTTCATTCTGGACTGGACCGAGGGAAAAGCCAATCAGGATGTAGATTTCATGTTTGTGCTTCCATTTCGAGAGCTGAACTTGATCCGAGATCATCAGTACAGTCTTCACAGACTTCTGCTGGACTTTCATCCTGAACTTCAAGATCTGGACTCACAGATTTATGAGGAGTGTAAAGTTGTGTTCATCTTTGATGGTCTGGATGAAAGCAGAATCACACTGATGTTTTCAGACGCTCAGAAAGTTTGTGATGTGACTGAGACTTCATCAGTGGCTGTGTTGATGTCAAAGCTCATGAAAGGAGAGCTGCTTCCCTCTGCTCTCATCTGGATCACCTCCAGACCAGCAGCAGCCAATCAGATCCCCTCCAAATACATCCACCGTCTGACAGAAATTCAGGGATTCAATGAGCCTCAGAAGGAGGAATATTTCAGGAAGAGAATCAGTGAGCAGCATCAAGCCAGCAGAATCATCTCACACATCAGAAGAGCAAGAAGCCTCCACATCATGTGCCACATCCCCGTCTTCTGCTGGATCTCATCCACTGTGCTTCAGAAGCTCCTGGAAGAAGATCTGAGTGCAGAAATCCCTCAAACTCTGACTGAAATGTACATCCACTTCCT